GCGTGCAAGTGCACCACAGACTAATAGCTATTTCGAGTAGCCTAAACGCTATTCTCTTCATCGAATGCATGTCTCAAATTACATTTTGTGGGTAGATGTGTTTTCAACTTAAACAGCGGACGTTACTCATTGTAAATGTGTTTTTTTAGACCGCATAGACCCTCTACTCTTACCAGTACTACGTACCGGCTGTAAATCTTATAACGGTACGTTGTACCGGAGCGTACCGGCTTACTTTCACCCCTGGTGATAAATGCATTGATTTACAATATATTTATGTAGCACACAACATGTGTATGTTGTTACATCAATATGTTCATTGAAAAGTACAATTTGGTATTATTAACGGCTACGGTTACTTGCCTTGACGTATTTTAGGCTTACCTGGGTTAAAGGGCGTGCTGCTGCTGTTCATTGCTTTGATTTTGTTTTAATTATTATGTTCTTAAACTTGTATGGTAGTCAAGATCGAGCAGTACGTAGTATCCTACTATTTATAGATATACGAAGAGGGAGCTAGGGGAAGGTAAGAAACATTTCAGATAAGATTAAATGTTCTAACATTTCTTTTAGTCATGGTGGATCTAGTAACTCCGTGCTAACTGAGCACCTAAATTATTTTGATGGCTAATATAAACTCGAACATGAATAGCATGCCAAGCAGTTTAATTGTCTGTGCCCTTTCCTCCGTGTCCTCATTGCGGATAGTCTCCACCATGGCTTTCTGTGCTGCCTGGGGCTGCTCGAATCGCTCAGAACAAGGAGTAAAAATGTACGGTTCTCCCAGTGACATGATCCAGGAGGCTATAAAACGGGTGTCTCAAGGTTGTCATATTCAAACACTGCATTTACACATCTTCTCAAAGACCACACCATTGGGAAGCTTGATGTTTGTTTTCTTTTAAAAATAAGGAACAAGGAAAGCTTGCAGGAATAACATTTAAATAAAATTAGTGCTGTTAAACGATAAAAATTTTTAATCAGATTAATCACATGGTTGCTGTGGATTAATTTCGATTAATCACGATGAAATATCATTCATTTTTAATCTATATTAATCACATTTCATTTTGCATGAGCAAACAGACTCAAGAAAAAANGTTCCTAATAATCCTTTAGGTGAGTGTAATATGGATGGTTATACGTCGTTCCGTAGAGACTGGATAGGCAAGAAGGGAGGTGGTGTTGCAGTATACGTAAAAGAAAACTTGCAGGCAAGGGAACTCACTGATAAAAGTAAAAGTACGGAAGCTGTATGGATAAAACTTGATGCTAAAGACTCAAATGGCCTAATTGTCGGGGTTTGTTATAGAGCAGGGTTGGGGCCATTCCGGAATGCAATGATCAATTCAAGTCCAAATCAGGAAATGGAACTGGAGATGGGATTGGAAAAAAAAACTACGGGGAACAGAATTGGAGTTGAATTTGAATTTCAGGGAGATTTAAGTTCCAACTCCAGTTCCATTTCCTGATTTGGACTGGACAGCTGATTGCTCCGCTACTTAAGACCAGCGGAGCCATCATGCATTGCAAAGTATTGTTGCCATTCCGTATGAGCCATACTAAGCATTATCTCTGTCTTTTGTCCTCCCGGTTTGTCCTACCTGCTGTCTCCTGCCTGCCTGTCTTGCCTCCCTTGCCTGCCCGGTCTGTTCCTCCGACCCGCCTACTCTGTCCTGCCCTGCTTGCCTGCCCTGACCTGCCCTGTTTCCTCGCTGGTCCCGTTCCTCCTGTCCCATCGGAACCCCGTCTCATCTCTTTACGTAGGACTGACCACCCCGGTATTCGACCATTGCCTGTGACCCGACCACGATTCTGGATTGCCCCTTTGGATTTGTCTGCACCCGGTTTATTTAATAAACCATTTTGCGTCCGCATTCCGGGGTCTGCCTCCTCCATTCGCGATCGTCATTACAGAATACTTCACCATAACAGAATGGACCCCGCGGAGAGCCAGAGCTTGCAGCAACAGGTGGATCAGCTCCACCTCCCTGGTGTTCCAGCTGATGGAGAAGCAAGCCCGCCAATCCCAACTCCCCGACTCACCATCACGGACATCTCCTCCGGTACCAGTTGCTATGCCTGAGAAGTATGACGGCAACCCAGACCATTGCCGAGCCTTCCTTATGCAGTGTGGTCTCTACATTGAGGAACACCCAGATCGCTTTACTGATAAGACAGCACGAATCAGGTTCATCATCTCGCTGTTTATGCGTCATGCTCGCGACTGGGCATCCACCCTGTGGACAGATGCCCCCTCCTGGAGTCGGCTCGGGATTTCCAAGCAGTCTTCATGGAGATCTTCGATCATCCCGCAGTGGGGTGCAGTCTAGGAGAATGTCTGGTAGACCTCCAACAAGGGTCCCGGACAGTGGCTGAGTTCTCTTTAGAGTTCCGGACCATAGCGGCTGGATTACGCTGGCTGGGGGACTGCCTCCGTATTTTGTATCAGCATGCCCTTGACCTAGAAATTCAGGATAAACTCATGTCTAGAGGCTCCACCCTGTCGTTCGAGGATTTCATCGGGCTGTCCGTCACACTGGACAATACCTTCTGAGAATGACGTCGCCGGTGCTCCCATCAACCAGCGCTCCCATTAACCAGCGCTACCAGCCCCCATGCCTGTCGAGGGTCCCGAACTGATGCAGCTCGGAAGATCACCCCTCACTCCGACCGAACAGAGGCACCACATCGTCCAAGGTCTGTGCCTGTACTGCGGCGAACCTGGACACACCCTCCACTCCTGTCCGATTTGACCATCTCGCTCTGGACCGTCCACCAAGGCAGGCCATTCTATATTTCTGGGCATCTCTCAAACTCAACTAACGGTACCTGTCGAGATCTAGCCGAAATTGGGTTGGTGGCGGGGTCGCGGAGGTGATCGGAGATCTTGCTGAGCACAGCATCAGCAGATTGGAGGGAGACAACGTCTGAGTCAGTAAGCTGAGGGCCGAGGTCCAGGAAGGAAGGTGCTGGAGCCAAGGCCAGCTCACGAGCTTGGCAGCGAGTGATGGCATGCACAGCAGGGTTGGGTGGGGGGGCTTGAAAGTCCCACAGGTCTCCGTTCAACGCTCCAGCTCTGGCAAGCGCATCTTTTTCCAGTAAATGTGCATGTCGTGCGACGTTATCAGCGCGTCACACGTCTGCAGCAGTTCCTGGTGTTTGACTGGCTTGTTACCTGATGTCTTGAAGCCATTCTGCTGCCAGTGAGGGAGNGAGTCGGATGCATTCCATCTGCCACAGAAGTGCAATACCATGGACCCATATCAAAAAGCAAGATTTTTTTGCTTAGCTGGACAACTTGTCGGATTTAAGAAACCTCAGTTTAAATGGTCTTTATCTTCGTTCACTTACAATTAGCCCGAACTACCGTAAATCTGACAAATAATCAGACTAATCATGAAATCCAACTCTAGCCCGTTTAATTGCCATTGTTAACAATATCAGTTGATAACACATTATGCGCGGTGCTTTACGTATAAAACTCTGTAGCAACACGTCCACAGATAAGTTGGACGGTACAGTGTGTGCGCCCGATTTAATGAGCCACAAATGAGAAGTAATGCTTAAACAGTGTTACAGTACGTGCCGTAAGTTTTGGGTTCGTGCCGAGTTGGTTCGTCGGACGCCCTGCCCACTCGCCATTCGTCTGCCGCCTCTTCGGCTCCGCCCGGACCTGGCCACGCCTCCCAGCTGCGCCGACTTCCGGTTCCGGGAGCTGAAAAGCCGAACAGCAAGACACCTCAGGAGCTCTGCTCGTTTTGGTTTTCTGTGATTGGTTTGCTTGTTGGATTTTGATTATATGTGTATGACTGGTTTTGATTTCTGGACTACGACTTTCGCTTCTTCCCTCCCTGGTACTGTTGCTTTGATTTGTTTGATTTTCTGGTTTTTGAACTCTCGCCCGGCTCCCGACTATTCTCTTTTGCTTGCCCCCACGGATACCGTGGTTTCTCTGTCTCCGTGAATTTGCCGCATGTTTGTCTTGTTGTGGGTGCGTAAGGAGTGACTGCCCTTTTGGTTTGTGTTTTGTGAACGTGGTTTATTGTGTGTTTTGGATAGGAAGTCAGGTGTAGTCTTTGTCGTTTTGTTTGTTGGTTTTTTTTCACTTAGGGAAAAGCGTAGTTTGGGTCGACTTCGTTAGCTGTTTTGGTTGTTGTTTTGGCCTGGGTCACTCCCGAAGTTTGTTGCACCTCGTGTTTGTAACCGTGTTTGTGAATAAATATAAAAAAATACAAAAAAAGATTCCTGTGTTTCCTGTGTTCCCCTTTCCCATTCCCTGCTTGTCTCGTCTTCCCCTCTCCCTTTTCCCTTACCTTTCTGGCGATCCCCAACCCTAGACTGGGAATCATAACAGAAATTGGGGGCTCATCCTTTCTTTTCTTCCTTCTGGTGTTTGTCTGGCGGATTCTTTTTGTGGGGGGGTGGTGTTGTGGTTGTGTTAGGGGTACTGTGGTTTTGTTAGTGAGGATGGCCCAGTTCGATCTTATAGTTTTCACCCTCCACCCCACGCTCGAGCAATTCGATAGGTGCCGCAAGGACGATTTGCTGGCCATAGCGAATTTTTTTCACGTGTCTGGCCCCGTTGAGGCTACCAAACAGGCGATTAAACAGGTCCTACAGGACGTGCTGGTGCAGCAGGGCATCCTACCTGAGTTGAGCGGCTCGCCGGGTGTTGCATCCACTCCCCTGCGGTTGCCGACTGCAGTGGAGGCCAGCGGCGACGACCTGGGGCTGGGGATCCGCATGGATCTCGGCGATCCTCGTTCAGCTAGGGAGGAACTGCTGCTTACTATTAAGCTGAGGGAGCTGGAGCTGGAGATAAAACGGCAAGAGTATCAGGCACAACTTCTCCATGTCCGGGCTGTGGAGATGGAGGCGGAGAAAGAGGTGGCATTACATAGGATGAGCATGGCTGACCAAAAGCCTGTGCCCCTTCCGCGGAAGGTTTGCTCACCAAGTACGACCCCTCAGGCAGCCCTACCCGCCCGTGACTCAGTTGGTGCCTAAGACGCTCCTCGCCTGTGTTCTCCTTTGGGTTCGCCAGCTTCCCTAGGCACTGAAATTGGGCATTCCGGAATTGATGTCAGCCGCCATGTTGGGCTTGTTCCCATTTTTCGTGAGAATGAGGTAGATGCCTATTTCTCTATCTTCGAGCGGATCGCTACAACGTTGAACTGGCCCAAACATCTTTGGTCGTTATTGTTGCAATGTAAGCTAGTGGGGAAAGCGCAGGAGGTCTGTTCGGCTCTTGCGTTAGAGCAGAGCTTAGATTATGATGTCGTGAAAGCCACTATATTAAAGGCATATGAGTTAGTACCAGAGGCTTACTGACAAAACTTCAGGAAACTGAGTAAATCCACCAGCCAAACCCATGTTGAGTTTGCTCGTGAGAAAGCTCTCCTGTGCGATAAATGGTGTGCTGCAAGTGGTGTGTATGACTTTGACCAGCTTAAGGAGTTGTTGTTATTGGAGGAGTTTAAAACTTGTATCCCCGACCGGGTCGTGGTGTATTTAAATGAACAAAAAGTTGTTTCTTTGTCTGAGGCTGCCACCCTTGCGGATGAGTTTATTTTAACCCACAAGACTGTGTTTGCCCCAACTCCTCTGCCTCATAGACTTGGTCTCCGTCCTGTGACACCTCCTTCGTCCTCCGCTGCGTCTCCACCTCCTGTGGAGAAAGGGGAATGTTTTTATTGTCACGAGGTGGGTCATATCATCTCTGTTTGTCCTGCGCTAAAACGTAAGGACGCTCGCGTTGCCAAAAAGGTGCAAATTGCTGCTTGTGTTGACCAGGCTACCCCACCAACCCTGTCTGTTGAACCTACCTTTCAGCCCTTCGTGTTCCCTGGATCGGTTTCGCTCGGTGAAGGTCAGGAACGACATCCTGTGACTATCCTACGGGATACGGGTGCGGCGCAATCCTTCTTAGTGGAGGGCATCGTTCCCTTAGATGAGACTACGTATTGTGGTGCTGATGTGTTAGTGCAAGGCATCGCCCTATGTGTGACCGCTGTTCCCCTACACACCGTGTACTTACCTGTAAGGACCCCTGACTTTTCGGGATACGTGCGTGTTGCGGTGCAGAAACAGTTGCCTGTGTCCGACGTCACGTTTGTTCTAGGGAATGACATTGCGGGAGAGAAGCTTGTTCCCCTTCCTGAAGTCATCCCAGACCCCGTGGTATGTCAGAATGATGTTGCGGTGGAACTCTCAACTGTGTTTCCTGCTTGTGTGCTTACCCGCGCCCAGCGGCACCGGCTCATGGACATCGACTTAGCCGATACATTTATGTCCGACCCCGCTCTGCCAACCCCCTCGACAAATAATGATCCTGATTTCCCGGTTCCTGTGAAACTTGCTGTGTCCCCTGAGGTTCCCTCCACCACTGACGCTTTGATTGTGGCACAGGCGGATGATCCCTCCTTGGAGGCTTGTCGTGCTTCCGCTGTGGACAAAGGCCAGTTAAAGGACCACCTCACCGTATATTATTTTAGCAACCGAGTGTTGATGCGGAAGTGGACCCCTCCAGACTCACCTTTCGACTGGGCTACTGTATTCCAGGTGGTAGTCTTCGGGTTATATCGGGAGTATGTGTTATCCCTCGCTCACGATCACCCGTGTTCGGGTCATCTCGGGATTAGGAAAACGTTAACCCGACTTCTGGCATATTTTGTTTGGCCTGGAGTTAATGCTGATGTAAAAAGGTACTGTAGGTCTTGTCATGCTTGCCAGGTGGTGGGTAAGCCGAACCAGACCATCGCTCCAGCTCCCCTACGTCCGATCCTTGCAATAGGAGAACCTTTTGAGCACGTTCTCATCGATTTTGTGGGCCCCTTACCAAAAACCCGTTCAGGAAATTGTTACCTGTTTACCCTTATGTGTACCGCTACTCGGTTTCTGGAAGCCATCCCTATTCGTAGTCTCCGGACCTCTGTTATAGTCAAACATTTGATAAAGTTTTTCTCTACTTTCAGGCTTCCTAAACAGGTACAATCAGATCAGGGTACAAATTTCACGTCCAAGCTGTTTGCTCAGGTTGTTCGCGAATTGGGGGTGCGTCATATAGTTCCCGTCATCACCCTAAGAGCCAAGGGGTGTTGGAGCGCTTTCACCAATCACTTAAAAATATGCTGCGTACCTTTTGTTTGGACACAGGGAAGGAGTGGGATGACGGGGTGCCCCTTCTCCTTTTCGCTATACGTGATACCGTACAGGAATCCACCGGATTCAGTCCTGCGGAGCTGGTGTTCGGTCACGCTGGTCGAGGTCCCCTGAAAATCTTACAGGAGCAGTGGTTATCCCCAGGTGCGTCATCCCCATCGAAAAACGTGTCCAAATTTGTTACCTCCCTCCGTGACGGAATGTCTGCTGTTAGGGAACTAGCTCGTCGGTCTCTTGGAGCCGCGCAGGAAAAGATGAAAGGAAGGTTCGACAAGTCCGCAAGGACCCGGTGCTTTCGACCAGGGGATCGTGTCTTAGTCCTTCTGCTGCTGCCTGGGTCCTCCCTGCGCACCCGTTTCTCGGGTCCATATGTGATACGGAAAAAACTCAGCCCCACTAATTACGTGTTAGAAACTCCTAACCGCAGGAGGAAAACTCGTATGTGTCATGTACTGTAAACATGTTAAAACCTTACCTTGATCGCTCGGTCTCTGCCCCCTCGCCCGTCTCTGCTCCGGTTTCCACTCCTGTAGGCGTCGTGGCCCTTAGCCAGTACTCCCCGGAGAGTGACGACTTACACCTCGGTAGAAACTGTCTTCCCTATGCTCGCCTCCCCAATTCTGAGGCTCTGCAAAACCTTACGTCCCGGCTCAGCCACTTACCTCAGTCTGCCCAGGCTGATGTTGCGTCGGTAGTAGGACGTTTTCGGTCCCTATTCGCCGATGTCCCCTCGCGTACCCCTGTTATTGAGCATGATATCGATGTTGGAGATCATGTCCCTATTAAGCAGCATCCCTATCGGGTCAACCCTCAGAAAAGGGCTTTGTTGTCTCAGGAGACCACTTACCTGGTAGAGACCGGTCTCGCTGTTCCCAGTAATAGTCCCTGGTGTTCCCCGTGCCTGCTTGTTCCCAAGCCTGATGGCACCTTCCAGTTCTGAACGGATTATCGGAAAGTTAATGCCGTGACCCGTCCTGATGCTTACCCCCTTCCTCGCATGGAGGACTGTGTTGATCGCGTCGGTTCTGCGAAATACGTCACCAAGTTAGACCTGCTAAAAGGATATTGGCAAGTTCCCCTAACGCCCCGTGCTTCAGAGATCTCTACTTTTGCCACCCCTGACACCTTCCTCCAGTACACCGTGATGGTTTTCGGACTACGCAACGCCCCAGCTACATTTCAGAGGTTAATGAATAAAGTGCTGGGTGACGTCCCTAACTGTGAGGCTTACTTAGACGACGTGGTCATCTATACAGACTCGTGGGAGCGGCATGTTCAGTTGCTGGAGCAAGTGTTCGCTCGCCTGCAAAAGGCTTCGCTTGTGCTCAACCTCGAAAAGTGTGAGTTCGAACAAGGTATGGTTAGCTACCTCGGGAAACTAGTTGGCCATGGCAGGGTCAAGCCCCTGGACGTAAAAGTCCAGGCCATCGGCTCATTTCCTGTCCCACAGACACCGCGGGAATTGAAGCGGTTTTTGGGGATGGCCGGTTACTACCGCTGTTTTTGCCGTAACTTTTCAGATGTGGTCGCGCCTCTTACCCATTTGCTTCGCAAAGGTACAAAGTTCGTTTGGTCCCCTGCATGCCAGGCCGCGTTCGATGCTGTAAAATTATTACTCAGTAATTCCCCTGTATTGGCCGCTCCAGATTTTACCAAGCCCTTCAAGTTGGAGGTGGACACTAGTGGCGTGGGTGCCGGTGCAGTCCTTCTGCAGGAAGATCAGCATGGGCTCGATCACCCCGTATGCTATTATTCCAAGAAATTCGTGAAACACCAGTTAGCTTATAGTGCCATCGAGAAACAGTATAAAACTACAACTTTCCCTTCTGTTGATAAAAGGCGCAGCCATCGGGATGCTCTGTGCTGCTCCGAGATATTTCTCGGATCGTCGAGAAACAGGAGCGCGCATGCTGTCACTTCCAGCTTCAAAACTCGGAATCACACTCGGAATACGAGTTCCCAGGACAAATGGAACACACCAAAACTGCCCGAAATAGGTTGACAGAGACATTTCAGGGATTTTGAGTCATTCTGCACTGCAGATGGGTTAATTGCGTTAAAATTTTTTAATCAGATTAATCATGATGATAGATTAATCCGCGTTAACCCGTTAATTTTGACAGCCCTAAATAAAATAAAAAATAACTCTTCTTATAAAGGACATTACTTATCGTCAGAATTCAATCTAACGGCCACCGGCAGTTTCTAGTATCTGTCCTTGTTGGCATGGAGACATTATTTTGCAGCAACTGCTGAGCAGGGGCCCTAGTTTGCCGGTATTTAAAGCACTGTCGATGTTTGTAGACCGGAAGGTAAGACGGGAAACTTTTCTTTGGTATATCTTAGTACTACAGAAACGCATATAAATTGTTAAAATACTATTTTACTGTAATCCTATGTTATTTTTAGTATCCTTGATATTAAAAAGTTATTTTAAATTCTTGTCGGAACGAGTTTGATACTGTAGAAAAAGAGAGGAGTTGTCTGTCCATCGATCGCCTGCAGTGTACATATCAGTGCAGTTAACATATTCAGGTATGTTAACTAAAGTAGTCAGTTTATCACATTAATTCAAAGTACCGTCGACATTTCAACGTCGCGTAAAATCTGTGATTCCCTTGGCGAGCGAAGCCAGCACGAGGGGTTGGAGACTGCGGGCAAGCTATCCGGGGTTTGCCGGTACATTGTCAAATCATCCGCGATTTAAATATGTGGTGCACACATAGCCATAAAATTATGGTATCAGATTTTTTACCACACTTGTTAGTGTCTTTGGTTTGTTTGTAGTTTGTTTGCCGCTATATGTCTTTGGTTTGTTGTTTGGTTTATGTTATCGCTATGAATGTACTAAAATATTTTATAAAGCTCTTAATGTGGTTTGACTAGTTTGTGTTTCTTGTTTGTTTGTCTCTCGGAAAAAATAATCTCACTCCAAATCTGCTAAAATATAAAGCAACAACACAGCAACGTGTTCATAGAGGTAGCCATGTTTGTTCCGAGGTGTGGTTAGCTCGAATGGGAGATTATCGGACGTGATGTCACTCAACTCGCAATTTCCGAGTTCCGAGAGAAAAACTATTATGTATTAATGTATTAATATGTATTAATGTTTCCGTATTGGTCCGCGCATCCTTAGCTCCCCAGCCGTGAAATATGAACTACAAGATTTTAAATTGTAAACAACAAAAAGATGTTTTATTAATATAAAGGGAAGCTGGGAATTCAGAGGTGAGTGAAGTCAAAATAACAAACCAAAAAGGATACAAATTAAACGAAAAGAAACCTGCTGAGCCAAACAAAAGTGTTCCCATAACTGTAACTCCCTTTCATAAAGAAAAACAAAAGAAACAGTAATTCAAACCAATATCATGTTCAGCGGTTACGGTCAGACAAAATTATGAGAGAAGAATGCAAATCACACAACAAGTATAGGGACGCAGACACCTGTGTATCTGGATGTTTTCAGATATGAATTACAAGCAAGGAGCGATTAGGTAGGCGGGATGGGAAGGCGCCCCCAAATACCAGTTCGCCAGATTTTTTATTGCGTGGATTCTTCCTGTTTTACTCTCATAATTTGTCATATCGTTAATCCACCCTACTCTTCTATCGCGCGGATTAAGATAATAAAGATGCACCCTGAAGAGGAGCTACCGTGGGTTGTAAGATTGTTAAATGAATTAACTGTTTTCTTGTCATTAGTAAATTACCTATTTGTTAAAAAAAAATGGATACATTGCAATACAAATAGATTCCTCACTGAAACGAGTGTCCAGAGTTGAGCAGGGGAAGAGTTTTTTGTAGTATTACGTGGGGTAAGAACCTTTCTTGTTCATTGTTGTTCTGCGTCAAGGTAGTAAGAGGATATATATGAGTTAGCTTATGGTGTGCTGTTGTCTTTTGATTAAGGTTAATGTACATATAAACAGGAACATGAACAAGGAACATAAACCTGCTGAGGGAAACAAAGATATTCCCACAACCGCAACTGCCTTTCACATAGAAAAACAGGAGAAACAGTATCTCAAAAACAAAAAAGCGTTTAGCCATTACAATCTCATATAATTTTAAGAGAAGAATACAAAGCACATAGTATGCATATGGACACAGACACATTTGTGGATATTTCAGTCTGACATACAAGCAAGAAGCATTAGGTAGCCATGAGCAGAAGGTTGCCCCCGGCTTGCCATTTTGCTCTCATAATTTGGCACATCCTTTATCCACCCTACCCTTGATTGGCGATGAGAAAACGTAAAATAAAGATATGTCCACCATACAAGCTAGCCTGGCTTGTATAAAATTCTGTAAAATTTATAAAGGAGATATATCATCCCCGGATTGTTAACGGACTTCCGCCTTACTGTTACTGAAATGCACTTGAGAGAGAACTGCATGTAAGGAGAGTATTGGGGGCTAGTGGGATCAGTATGGATGCGATTCGTTGTATGAATTCTGAGAGGGATCTGCCCTGACTAATGTAAAAAAACAGTAGCGAACTGATAATGTAAGCTCCCACAAAGGTTACTTTAGTTTCTTCTGCTGTATTCATTTCATATGCTCAATAAACATAAACAACTTCCTGCACAGCGTATTATGCTTGATTATCAAACTGCTTAAAAGACAGCGTTGCATATTAACCTGTAGGTACAAATTTTGGTACAAAGGTTTGATGAAGTTAACATAGCCTGTTGGCTATATTACAGTGCCTGAGTTAAGATCCGACTTACCAGGCAACTCGTACTTAAGAACAGTCTGACATAAAGCCTGTTAGATTAAATACAACGGTTAGTAATAAAGAATGCAGTACTTTGTGACGCTCTTGAAAACATTGCCTGAATTCAGCGGTTCTTCCGCTCAAGGTACAGTACATTAGCGTATTTACTTTTATTTTTACTGTACAATAATAATAAAAAAATAAATTAATTATTATATACTGAATTTATTTTATTGATTTACCTACAATTTCAACTTCAAGATAATCTTCGTGAATGGATCTCGTTCATAACCTGGGGATGTCTGTATTAGATCTTGCTATATTATAAGATCCCTTACATAAATCACTGCCTTGAAGCTAGGGAGATCATATTTACTTAGCTGACATTTTAGCACTGGTGACCCAATGAAAATGAAGATATTCAGCCATGATATTGCAATTTTCAACTCTATGTACTGGTATGTACAACATCCAAACAAGGCTCTTGAACTTCTCATTCATGGATTTGATAAGGCTGTTCCTAATGGAAGATTGTCAATGGATTTGGACAGAGATGAACGTTTGTCAGCCTCTCCGTCAGTGGTAGTAGGACAGAAGACGCAGTTGTGTATTACTGTGCAGTGCAGCTGACATGTGGTGCTAATACACAGTTACAGCTCCTCGAAGAATCAGCAGCTTGTCCCTGCCCACTGCTGGCAGGTTTATCCTCTGGCAATGACACAGAGGAGGAGGAGACAGAACTGTTGATGTAGGAAGGATGGACTGCTTCACTGGAATATATCTTCAGCACGAGCAGCACTTACTATTCTGTCTACTGGTACTGTCAGTATCCAGGAACAGCACCCAAATTCATACTGCTCCATGGGTCAAGCAGCAACACTGCCGAGTTTGCTAATCAGAGATCCTTCTCCAGTGCTTGAAGTGGAACAGCCTCTTTGTCTATTTCTGAAGTTCATCTAGGAAACTGTGCTGTGCTCTGCAGTCCACAGTGATGTATTATTGTTAGAGCTCATAAAAACCTGCTTCATCAGCTTACACATACTTTAGAGGGCCAACTGAAAATAATGTTGGTGTGTTTTGTAAACATTTATGAGCTTGAATATTGCCTGTCTGGCAACAGTGAAGATAATATTTATTCAGTGGAGGTAAATTAGATTAATTGTGACTAGATTACTGATGGTTCCAGTAATTACTGGAGAGGGTGAGAGGGACTCTTCACCGTTTGTGGAGGAATTTAGCAGGAACATCTACT